GAAAAAAGCACAGAAGGGTGCACTGTATTCAACGGGAAGTACGGACATTATAATTAACAGAAGCGAATCTTCTATTGACATTTACCGTATAGAAAGCAATGATTCGTTTCAGCTCGAAAAAAGGAAATGTCATAACAGAGAACTTATTACAGACAGTTCTGACAGCATCGGAGGCAGAAATCCCTGTTGCAGAGACAGAAATCCCTGTTGCAGAGACAGATGCGCCGAAGCTCAGTTACTTGGCAGGAGTAGATATTTTTCGAGAAACAGAAAAACCCATGCAACACAAGTAATTCCAACAGTCACCGACTCTCGTACCAAGTATGCTAAACACAAAAGCTGCACACCAAAAAAGCGTCATGACAAATGCAGCTTACAATGTCCCCCACGACGAACAAGAAATGACTGCTGGTGTGACGATTCCAACCGAGGTATGTACAATCAGAGCTATCACGTAGGTTTTAGCACTTGCTCTTACAACGAGCGACCCTCAGCTTCAAAGTGTTCCCTTTTAATGAGCTGCTCGTCCCTAAACAGTTTGGGTGGAATTTCGAAAAGACAAAATGTTAATAATCGCGAGGACAACTGCAAAACGGAAAGATGCAGCATAATAAATGACCCCAAAAGAAGGGAAAAGAAGTTACGGTCACGATATCTCGACCGTAACAGTAGAGCAGGGGCTTACTACAAACACCCCGTTAAAATCAAATCGAACATTTCTAATTCCAATTTCGATACAGAGAGAAACGATTGTGAAATACCTCCGCAAATAGGCTACTGCCCGGAAAGGGAAACTACACCTAAAAGGTCGACTTATCGAAACTATTGGGATTGTAAAATGAATGACATTTCTAAATGTGTGGCCAGTGTTTCTAATACGGCAAGGAAAGTTACGAAGTGGGAGCCAGAACCGAAACTCGTCAAGTACTGGTGTGAATGTTGTGAAACGTTTGTGAGACCGAAAAAGAAAGTAAAACGGACCCTCTTTACCGAATGCGTCACCGGTGTGCTCCAGTGTTGCGTTCCTCACTTGAAAGTGCACGTTACTGCTTACGTCTGCCCGAAATGTCAAAACACTTTGATTAAGTTCGTTCCTGAAAATAAATCTGCTGTAAAAGGGTGCATCAATAACAACATCAACTAATTCATAATTCTTTTATTGCACCATCGCTTGTCATTCCTTTAAAATGTCACACACGTGAATGTATTGGATAAATAATGGTTTTCAAAATATGCACAGGTTCCATCGGAAACTAACATCGATATCATCATGAGAATCATCAATCTTCGACAACTTCATAATTGACCAAATTTTTACGTTGCAATGTCAAAAGAAAATCGGCAAAACCAGAAAGAATCGCATTGTTCAACTCCCCTGGAGAAGCTGGTCGAACAAAAGCAATTATGGTGTTGCTCAAATCGGCGACAAGGAACAACTCAACGGAAACGAAAGAAAGATAAACAATGTAAATCGTCAGTGTCAGGAAAAAAAGGAAAAAATGACAAGCAAAAAGTCAAAGAAACTAAACAGACCAAATGTTTCCCAAAAGAATGTGAATGCGATTCTAAGAAAAGAAATACCGCAAAAAATAAATCATGCTCCAAGAAATCCAAAGAAAAATCCAAATCGAAATGTAAAAGGGAAAAGAAATTAAACAAAAAGGCATCAAACAAATCGTGTTCAAAACGTCAGACTGGAAAGCAAAAATGCAAAAAAGGAAATAACAAGAAATGCACCAAAACGTCGAGTCAGTCATACTTAGAACAGCCCATTCTAGAATGTTCGTCCAAACCTATTGATGAATCGTGTCCAAATAAGTGTGACATTCCAAAATCGAAATCATATCCAGACAAACTTGAAAATAGAAACCACCAATGCCAGCAAGTGTGCAAATGTGCTCCTAAAACATCCCACGACGAATGCAAGAAGAAAATTGTTTTCTACTGTCCACAATGTAGGAAAAAAGTGAGTCCTATGGTGACCAGGAAGTACACGTTGTTTACATCCATAGTGAGTTGTATTTGCAGATGTATTGATCCCAGGAAGCAATTCGTGAAGTACGAGTGTGTCTGTCCAAAATGTAAAACGAAAGTATTAAAATATACTAAATACACTATTCCGGATAAACCTCCTGAAATTCCGAAGAAATGTGTTGATGATCTATGTAAACGTACTGTTAAATATGGCGTCGAAACTGTGAAGAAATGTTAAATAAATTTACCAAATTAAGAGCTGTCTTTTATGATGTCAAATGAATACAAAAAAAAGCGTTTAATTTTACGTTTCACCTAAAATTCACTTTTCAGTTCATCCAAATCAGATTTCTGTACCAAATTCTCAATCAATTATTGAAGCGAGTTTGACACTACGACCTAGATGCATGAGTTTGGTTAAACGAACAATACATTCAGTGGAATAAACAGAAATCAGGATGAAATATGAAAAAGTCAAGTTCTGATATGCCTTACCAATGAACATTATATGAAATGAAGGAGTATTTAAACCGTCAGAATTATCACAAAAAAATAAATCTTGACGTGTACGTCAATATTTTCACCGTTTGTTACGTGTTTTGGCACAATGTACTAAAAACATAGAAAATTGTTACCGTAATAGAAAATTAGTTGTTTCATTGTTGGTTTAACGTCATTTATCCATGGATCATGTTCGTTCACGCTGGAACGTGTTTCTTTTGATAAATGGAAGCTTGTGTCAAATGTAAAATATGCGGAGAGCAACTGTACTACAGCCCAAGTCGTGTAAACACATTAGGAGAGCATCTTATCAAAAAACATCCTGACAATCCTGCCATCCATTTCTCTTCACATGAACATGGTCCTACTAGAAAAGGCACTTACACGTCCAAGTTTGTGTGGTCTGATGATCCTAGAGTTTTTAAAACTACAGGTATTTAAAATGCCTACCTACATAAGGGAAAAGTGTACAAATTGATCCCCCTAAGGGAGGATGGTTACTGTATCCAACATATTCTTGTTAGAGCAAACATTGAAAGATCTTTTAATTTGTCATATTAGTGGGGATATACTGGCAAGTATTCTTTCTCAGTTTGCTTATCATCATCATCATCATCATCATAAGGTCGTCAGTCCTAAGACTGGTTGGATACCCACCTCCTGAGCTAATCTAATTTCTATAAAACTAGAACAACCCATCTCCTTAACTATTTGTGAACAGTAATCTAATCTAGGTCTACCTCTACCCTTCCTAACTTCTGCATCTGCCTCTAAAATGTCTCTAACTAGACCTTCATGCCTGAGAACGTGTCCTACCAACCTATCTCGCCTATTTCTTATTGACTTCCATAGGATCTTTTGTTCTCCTATTCTTTCTGATATCTCTTCATTTCTAACCTTCTATATCCACGGTATCACCAGCATTCGTCTGGAACACCACACTTCAACGCTTCTAACCTTTTCTTTTCTGCAGCGTCCACCGTCTATGTTTCGCACCCGTAAATTTTCTGAATGTTTACGAAAGAATCATTTTGTACACCTGGATGTATAAAATGATCTCTGTGGTAGGGTCAAAATGATCCTGGGGATCGTTTTACATTCTCTTTAATCAAATGCTTTTATTTTAAAAATAATTAATACAGACTCGTAATTATCAGTCTTTCATAATATTAATCTTTATAAGTTCGATGCAAAAGTCACTTATGAAAACTTCTTCGTCATCACTATGAAGTTCAGTGCATGCTTCATGTCTCCATTTGAAACATTTCACGCAAAGAATCCAACCCTCTCCCATGGTGTTTTCGAATATGGTTCTGTGCAAAACATGCACTCTGCATCCTCTTTATCTACTGAAGATTCAGACTCGCTTCTTGCCCTCTTTTTTCTTTTTCCAATCTCTTTGTTTGGTTTTTTCTTTTTCCAACTTCTTTTCCTTTAGTTTTCTAGTCAATTATTGGTTTTTGCTAAATAGTTTTTGTAAGGTGTGCTTGTCAAAATCAAAATATATCTTTGTTTCTTTTCTTTATATTACTGTTTGTTTTTCCTTCTATATTTGGTATGGGTCGTCGAATATCTCGAGGTGCAAAAACTTCAAAAGAAGTAGATGGAGATTTGATTGTCAGAGTCATTTTATACCCGCATAAAGGATTTGTTTAACCCCAACGGTATAAAAGATGTCCAAAAATAAACTCAAAATATAACCGCAAAGAAAATCAAAACGTGTTGGAAATAATTTTGAATATCATTAAGAGCAGCTAGTAAAACAAAAATTTAAGAAAAAACATTTAAATTGTAGGAATCTGACGTTGGTTTTATGATCACCTTAGATCAAACACATCAATTTTCACACAATACACAATACTCAATAGATACACCACACCTAGTAAGACAACTAAGGGACGTACAGGGAAGACGTTTTTAGTTTTTTTTTAATAGTTGGTAATCATTTTACCTCAAGGGATCATTTTGTACATCTTTCCCCTACATATCTACAAATTTATCTCAACTAACTATCGTTTTAGTGGAAACGTGGCATTCAGCTCCTACGGAGATCACATGTCCGTGTTGTGGAGAGAAAACCCAGCCATTAATAAGGAAGCAAAGAAACAAAGTCCGTTCAGATATAAGTTCTAGTAAAAAAATAATTTAACGAATAATGATCGCTTTTTAGATTGCTAGTTCGTCATTCGGAGCACTGTGTTTGCTAGGTTGCTGGCCCCTGTGCTTTTTGCCATTCATGCTCGGTGGCAGTGAAATCATAAACCTTTATTGCCGAAACTGTTGCATGTTCCTAGGGAGGTACAATAAAAAAACACGCACCTTTATACCACTTGAACATTACCCGAAAGCGAGCAATCACAAAAGGAATTCAAGCAAGAGCATGAGGAAGACCAGTGACCAAGATCGCAGGGCCAATAATTGTAATCACAGTTCGGCAACGTACAGGGCCGCAATTAGTTCCGACGAAATAGAATTAGGAAATACTGGTACTTCAACTTCAAAATAGTTATTTATAGCGCTGCCAAGTGATTATGCAACAAATAGTAATAAAACAGTTTTGCCAATGTAACCGTAGAGTGCTTTTATTGTGACATTTATTGTCAAAATGACACCTAATCGTCCAGATGTGTTTTTAAAGAGGTATGAGCGAAGAAAGAAATGATAAATTACAAGTGCAAAACAGTAGCTTATCCGTAAATGAAGATTTAGACATAGAACAAAGTAGCGATAATGAAACTGCACTTGGCCTTGGTGTTGTTAAACAAAATTCGTTTTCAGTAGATTTAAGGAACCAGCAAAGAGATTTACATGAAAATGTCCATAAAAGTTTTCCTTGTAGCATTAATAACATAAATACGACGCCAAAAATACCATCTCTATCAAAATGGGTTGCTTCCAACGTGCAATCCATCACTAAATTTCTTAAGCACAATCACGGCTCAGGGTCAACAGAAGTCATAATTGATACCGGCTGTAAAAGTATAAGCACATCTTCCACCCAGTTTTCAGAAGTACATTCAGCAGTGCCCGGTGTCAAAGTTACGACAACATTAAATGACGAAGCTGAAGCTTCAACTTCGCGAAAATGTGAAATGACTGTATCCAACCAACAAGTGAATTTTTCTTTCGTTGAACAAACAAATGCACAAGATAATCCATTCTATTCACGAAGTCACTGCAGTAGTATGCAGGCTGTAAGTATTCAACAGGAAGTGAAGGAATGACATGCAAACCGATGGAGATAGACGTCAATTACATACGATTATATAGCAAATAAAATTCAGTTGAAGGCTATTCTACAAGTTCCCATCTCTACATGATTCTGTAGATTGAGGAAAACCGAAGTGGGATATTCACAATATATACCCCCATATAATCACAATTTTTCACCAAACAATTTCTTATCATCAGTATGTTAATGTAATAATCAGTAACTTTGACATTTTTTAATCGTGGTTAATATGAAACGTAGATAAGTAAATATTAGGAAGGGAGTCATACAGGGATGCACCCTGTCACCCATACTTTTTAATCTATACATCGAAGACGCGATCAACATCATTAACGACAGTACAACTGAAGGGATAGATATACAGTGGCAAAGATTAGTATCATTACATTTGCAAGGGAGGAAAAAGTAGGGAAAGAGCGAATATAAACATAGGAGACGAAAAATTAGAAGAAGTGGCTGATTTTAGGTATCTAGGAAGTCAGATAAGTCAGGGCGGAAGGAGTAGTAGGAATAAGAGGATAGCGCAGGGTCGAGTCGCCTTTAATAAAAAAAAGTCACTTCTAGGCTCGCGAACGGTTCATTTAGAAACTCGTAAAAGTTTGTTAAGGGTGATGTTTGGAGTGCGGCGCTGTACGGGTGTGAAACATGGACAGTAGGCGCGGCGGAAAAGAATAGGTTAGAAACGTTCGAAATATGGTATAGGCGAATGATAAGGATACCGTGGATAGAGAATGTTAGAAATGAACAGGTATTAGAAAGTATAGGAGAATAGAGGACTCTATGGAAGTTAATAAGAAATAGGCGAGATAGGTAAGTGGGATACCTTCTCAGGTATGAAGGTCTAGTCAGAGATATATTAGAGACAGAAACGGGAGTTAGAAGAGGTAGAGATTGACTTAGATTAGATTACTGTTCGCAAATAGTTAAGGTCAGAGCATTAGTGCGTAAAGCCAAAGATCCCAGGTTCAATTCCCGGTGAAGATGACAACAGCAACAAATTTTCCCTCATTAGCCTGAGGGTAGTTTGTAGTGAATAGAAAATTGAAAACGAATTTTCGCATTAATATTTAATAATCAGTAAATTAAATTGTAGTTTTCGCGGTCTATTTTTGATGATTTTTATTACAGGGACAACTCATAAAAACGCTGAGGGTTAAAATAAATTACTCCCTAAATCAAATATTGCTGTGTCCTTTATGAACGTTTGGTTTCTACTTGCCCACTTGGCTTTCTTTGAACTTCAGATTCATTAAGAGAAACTCCCAACTTCAATCAAATAAATGTTCTTGGCACAAATAAAATAAGGGTTGTACGCTCCCTAAAGTTGACCGTTTACTAGATATGCTTTTAGAACAGACCCTCTTCGAGTCGATCCACCCCCGTAAACCAGCAATCTCCTGAAATGTTCATATCATCTCAAGAGCTGACTAGCACTATACCTCATCCTCGTAAAGATCCAACTGACAATCAGCCAGTCAATATTGTATTTGGTAATATCGAAGCAATAGTGAATCAGGCCCTGAATATTTCAGACCAAAAGGAACGAGAAGCAACTCATTCATCGGTTACACTTGAACCACCCCCTTCTAGGGACGAATTATTAGTAATAGGTCAAGCAATACCGCCTGAAACGGATTCCAGACTAGAAGTACTTATTTCACCCCCTCCCTATCCCCCTAGAATTATACAAGGTCCACCATCAATAAGTGGCGCACCACCATCTTACTCGGCCGTAATGAGATTAGGTTCAGAACCTATATGGGGTAGGGCTATTGCAATTCGACCGTCACCTCCTTTTATAGCACCCCCTCCACCACCAGCTTATACGCAAGCCGTTGGGTATGCACCCCCTGATAGATCCTATGCTTCAAGTGGTAATTACAGTAGATTGACATCTTATTAATATTTTAATTGCACACTTATAACCCATATTTAATTTAATTATATTCGTAGGGTTAGAAGACGCAGAAAGTTATTCCGATTGGATACGTTATACGTGTAAGTAATGTCGGTAAAATGGCAATATAATCTAATTTAATTAAAAAGGTTCTCTTAGGTATAATTTAGGTACATAATAGGTACAACTTACCAAATTAAAATCATCGGAGTAGAAAAGTCTCGTAAAACACAAACGAACAGCGAAGATGCAGAGCTATACAAAGTTTAAATTAATTAAATTGTTTACAGGAAATATTATCACACTTACCTTTACTATTTCTTACAAACTCTGCATCACATCCGGAACAACATACACCAACACAACTCACCGCGTTGCAACTGAGCTTTTTTCTCGTGTATGATGTCATTTTTCCTTTCTAGAAGCTTAGTCTTGTTATGTACATGCGCATCTCCGACATTCTTTACCTACTACGTATTGCACAGAACTTAAGTCAGTATCAAGCAGGGAAAACTTTCGAATACGGAAAAATGACAACTTAGCGTTAGCGATGAACTATAATATGCATTATTGCAATAAACACTGCAGGGTAAACAAAAGTAGTATTTTAATAAATAACGAAACACATTAAAACAGGTAACTGACAAGGAGTAATCAGAATCTGATAGGAAAAGAATCAATTTCTCATCCAACAAGTACGAAAAAGGAATTATTATTTTTGTTTGCTGTTTTCTGTTTTGCAAAAATGATTATCAAAATATGTATTATTGTAATATAATCATCAATATTGTAGTAGAAACATAATATAGTAAAACAATGTATATGTTACCTGAAATATATGAAATCTGTCATTGTATACAATTCCTAGGAAATGTATAGAATTCCTAAAATCGCCCGAAAATGTGTAAAATAAATTATATTAGACATATTTCCTAGGAAATCTATACATTTCTCAAATAGCAATAGGAAATGTATTACAGGATACCTACAGTAAATAGGTAACAATATGGCAGGCTGCTTGGAGATGTACCTATATCCGTTGGTGACGTCATTGTTTGGTTAGGGAGATTTATGAGAGACTTGAGTTTCTTAAATGTCCCTGCTATGTTTGATGTTACAATATTGTGACGAGGTTATTGTTCTTTCAGCAAACACGATGATCTTGAGTTTAGTTAGTATGTTGTAAAGGAGATAATGCTGATCATTTTGTCTGACTGATACACTTAAAGAAACACGAAAACAATCAACCTTTAGGGTGTGATATGAGGTTGTTATGTTTGTAAGGGAAATATTTTATTTGTGGGATGAGATGAAACCTATAGCAAGGTGAAGGCACTTCTGACCATTTTTATTTTTATATGACAGTGGATCAAATGGTATGGGGTTCAGATCCAATAACCATGATATGTCCGAGGTGTGCAAATGTGATAATGACGTCAACATATGCCCGTCGATCTGGTCTATCTCATCTGTCAGCGGTAGCCATGTTTTTCTGCGGATGTTGGCCCTGTTGTCTATTACCGTATTGTATGGACTCCTGTAAGAACACGTATCATTACTGTCCGCGATGTCAGGCATTCCTGGGTGTCTATAGACCTTGGTGAATTTGTACTTTTATTAAGTAATAAACATTTCATTCTGACTCTTTTCGTTCCTTTTCTTTTAAAGGAGGCAGACGGAAACGATGCTACTACACTAACTTAAGTGCGGGGATGATATAAAGTGCCAATGTCAACGATTATTATGGATTTAAATGAAATATTTGGTTTAATAAAGTTTTGATTGAAACATTTAACTTTTTTCTTAATTAACACCATAAATAGCCGTTATTATCCTTATGGTACCTAAGTAACCTCTAAGCTTTGATATGGCTTCGTCATCATCATAAGGTCGTAAGTCCTAAGATTGGTTTGGACACCCATCTTCGCTCCTTCCTATCCTGAGCTAATCTTCGCATTTCCCTAAAACTAGAACATCCCATATCCTGAAGTATTACCGAACAGTAATCTAATCTAGGTCTACCTCTACTCCTCTTAATCCTGTTTCTGCCTCTAATATGTCCCTGACTAGTCCTTAATGCCTGAGAAGGTGTCCTATCAACCTGTCTCGCCTATTTTTTATTGAGTTCCATGAAGAAGTCCTTTGTTCTCCTATTCTTTCTAATACCTCTTTATTTCTAACTGTCTCTATCCACTGTATCCTCATTATTCGTTTGTAACACCACATTTTGAACGCTTCTAACCTTTTCTTTTCTTCCTCGCCCACCGTCCATGTTTCGCACCCATCCAGCGCCGTACTGCAAACATACACCTTTAACAACCTTTTTAGAATTTCTAAATTAACCGTTCGCGAGCGTAGAAGTGACTTCTTTTTATTGAAGGCCACACGACCCTGCGCTATTCTCTACTTTATATCCCTACTACTTCTTCCGTTCTGACTTATCTGACTTCCTGATGTGACTTACAACTCTAAAATTTATAAAAACAGTTTTAACTTTCACCCTGTTTTATCAACTCTGACACTTTAACCAACGTCGTAATTACTATTAGTGGTACTCAGGGCGGGCTGTAAAGATGAAGATCGAGATGAACATCGTCCCAATGCTTTATCTAGATAACGTTAATCTTTGGGGCGGCAGGAATAAGATTCAGCCCGATTCAGGTGCCAATGAGCATTTTCAGAGTGTAGAAAGAGCCGATATTGAGCTTTTGTCATCAAAAATAGACAGGAGGGTGCATGGTTGGGTAGTTCTGCACAGGGAAAGGTAATCTGACAAAAATATTCTTGCCTTGATTCAGATAGGTTACTAAGAGCACGCTACGTCGACCACAAAAATTTTGGAATTGAAGTTGAACAGTGCTTTGAAATAGCCGAACTAAGAATATTAAAAAAATTTGAACTCAGTTGGACCACCGTTTAAGTTGTAAGATTGTTAGCTAAAGAACTGATTTTGCTTAAATTAAATTAATACTTTATTATAACGAAGGAGTTGTAGATGAGGAATCTCTCCATCAAACTAATTCACTTCACGATGTCACCTAATAGAAACTTTGTGAATCAAGGAATACAATAATGATATCCATTCTTTGGAATGCTTTAATTAGCTAGATACATAGCCACACCATGGTAGGGCTAATTATTCATACTCGGCATATTCTAAATTAATTCCAATTTATACCACACGTGAGGTTGTAGTTCGTAAATAGAGGCTATTTGTGGTTTTTGTATATCTATGTGAAAGAGGTTATGGTTATCAAAATCTATATTTAAATATTTATTACAGTGAAACTGTGTGGTACAATTGGTCTTCGAAATATAATAAAGGTAGGTGATGCTTATATTTATTATTTGTTCTTGTTTAATTATTTCCTTTTAATGTCAAACTCATCTTTGATGTTTATATATCATTCGTGAAGACTTTGAGTAGGTACCATATTTTATTGATTCAAAGATTTAATAAATGTATAAGAAAAGTGCAATTATACAAAAACGCCTACACACATTTAATACATTCGATAATGTAAAAGACATATATAAAGTTAATCCATAAATTTTGCATTACACTTCAAAATAACGAAATAGATTACTATAGTTATTCATCTATGTCGGAGGAATTTCATCTTCCATGCGCGTCAGCTTGATATTTCTGTCAGTAGCGGTGTCTCCAGAAGATTCCTTGGGTCTCAAACGGACCCTTAAATCTAAGCATCTGATATCAGTCATTAGAGACTGGTTTTTATTTGCCAAGTCTCTTTGGATGAACATCAATTGATCTTCTAAAGTATTATAAGTCGCTTTGGCGCAATTAATCTTGTCCTGTAAATCCTTCCGGGTTTGTCTTAGCTGATAGACTTCGTCCTTCAGGCCCATTTCGGCTTCGTCTCGAGCGTTTTCAACCCCCGATCGATACGTTCGATTTTCAAGTCTAGTCTCACATAACTTTAACGCATCTGTCTTGTCTTCGAGAGCGGCTATGAGTGTGTCTATTTCCTTTAGGATTTTTTCCATTTCTTCCTTCATTTTGAACTGCTGCCATTCCAGTTCATTTCGAGCTTTCTGCGTTTGATAAATTCGTTTTCGTAAAGTGAAATCCACCCAATCTCGCTGGGCTTTCATGTCATTCCGAGCACGCTCCCTAACGACAAACAAAGCTTCACGAAGTTTATTGGTGTCTTCCAATTCACTATCCGCAAGAAGCTTCATGTAACGGGTGTGCTCTTCCCATGTTTCGTACGGTATTGAACTAAAGCATACAAAAAATAAAAATTAGAAGTGTGTTAAGTAATAAATACAATATTAAAAAGGAACTCACCCCAAACCTCCACAACAAATATTACGATTAAGATTTCATAGCTTTATAGTTTTATTTCATTTCGTTTTATTTAGTCTATTGCAGATATAAGTAATAATTTCGTCATGTATTTGTTATTGTAAGTATTCTTTCAAAATGCATAAACATATGAAATCCTATGACATTGTTAGTTACTTAATAGTGGATTAATATGCAACATAATTTTAAATCATTTTTTCTGATTTTTAATTACCCACATCAAACTACCTCAAATTAATGAGGGAAAAATCGTTGCTGTTGGCACACCCCCGCCGGGAATCGAACCCGTGATCTTTGGCTTTACACACCAATGTTCTACCACTAAACTACGAGAGGTGACAACAGCAACCACGACCAACACGACAATATGTTGCTTCTAGGGAGAAACTTTTCGAAATTACCCGGTATGCATGACAATTTCCGACTTTTTATTTCTTGTAAGGATACCGTATAAAGTCCCGATAAGCCACCAGCAAGTCCGTGTCCTTATCAACACTAAAGATATAAAATAAAGCAGGGAAGACAATAGGTCGCCATCTGTTACACAAAGGCAGCTATCTGAGTGATTCAAAATTTATGTAACAACTAAAACAAGTGTTCTGTATGTTACATACGAAATTAAATTTTGTTACTGTTACGCAGGTTTTGCTAGTTAAGGTAAAATTGTGGGTAAGGATTTATGAACTCTACAATTAACTACTTTTGTAAATCAGTAGCAAGTCACTTCTTCCTCTATCTTATTTGGATTTCTTTAGTGAGATTGTGAGATGAAAATTACCTTTTCTGAGATGTACATTTAACTATCTTTGTAAATCGGTGGTAACTCATTTCCTACTATATTTTATTTTAATTTCCTTAGTGGGATGTGTTGATTAGCTCACTTTCAGCTCTATTTTATTTAATGTTTTTAGTTGTTTGTTTGTATTCTTTAGTGGGGTAATGAGGTGTAGATTACTTATTAATGTCTTTAGTCAGCTTGAAGTACAATTTCTGAGATCTACAATTAACTCCCTTTGTAAATAGGGGGCGACTCATTTCCTACTCTGTTTTATTTGATTTCGTTCGCGGATCGAGGTGTAGATTACATTTTAAAGTCTTCGATAAGCTTAGAGTACAATTTTTGTAGTCTACAATTAGCTACCCTTACAAGTAAGGGGCAGCTAACTTCCTACTGCACTTTATTTTGATTCTTTAGTGGGATTGTGGAATGAAGATTACTTTTTCTAAGATCTACATTTAACTATTTGAGTTAATAGGCCGTAATTCACCTCCTACTATATTTTGTTTTGATTTTTTTAGTGACATGATTAGGTGTTCATTATATCAATTCCTGCTCTATTTTATTTAATTTTTTCTGTGAGTTGTAGATTACTTTTTAAAATCTTTGGCCAGCTTAGAATACAATTTCTAAGTTCTACAATGAACTCCCTTTGTAAACAGGTGACAGTTCACTTCCTACTCTATTTTATTTGGATTTGATTAGGAGGATAGTGAGGTGTAGATTACTCTTTTAAATATTTTTAGTCAGCTTAAAATAGAATTTATGAGCCCAACAACTAACTACATTTGGAACTAGGTGGCGACTCATTTCCTACTCTATTTCATTTGATTTATTTAATGGGATCGTGAGATGTAGATTACAATTTAAATACTTCGATAAGCTTGGAGTACAGTATCTGAAATTTACAATTTACTACCCTTGTAAATAGGGGTCAGCTAATTTCCTACTCAACTCTATTTTGTTTCTTTAGTGGGATCCTGAAGTGTAGATCACTTTTTAATATCTTTAGTCAGCTTGGAGTACAATTACTGAACTCTATCGTTGTTAATAGGTGGCAGCTTATTTCCTATTCTATTTTATTTGATTTATTTAACGAGATCGCAAGATGAAGATTACTTTTGAAAGTCTTCTGTCATCTTGGAATGCAAATGACAGATGGACAGATTCCAGTAAAAACACAAAAATTTCCAAAGGATAGGTACATTTACGTCTAAATTTAATTTAGTTTCAAAAGGTAATTATTTAACGTAATCTAAAGTTGAAAATAAAAATACAGTCCTGAAAAGTCCGTCAAATCTGAAACTTTATTACATAGTATAAAAATCCTGTTCAAGTCAAAGATTTCGCCATTTTGTTAAGTGTATTATTGAAGTAAATCATACCCTCTGGAGATCCTTGTTGGATCTGTCTTGAAGGTGATGTTTGCACAATTTCTGTCAAAGTTCAGTTGATCTTTTTCAATTTCTATTGCTTCCCCTTTATCGTTTATCTCCAATTCGAGTTTAAACTTAACTTCTTCCAATCGATTTAGTTTTTCCCATGCGGATTGACAGCGTTCCACCAGCAACTTCTTCACATTTTCAACTACACAAAGCTCCTACGAAATGACCAATTCAAAATTATTTACTTAAACTGACTTTATAACTGAAATTGTATTTCCTAAAGGAATAAAGTAGTTTCCTGAGACTCAAGGCTTTCCCTATGGCTACATCATTACTTCCATTATTCCTTAAATTTTTATTAATACTCTGTGAACATTTACTTTCTAATGACCTGGGAAAATATATGATAAGTAACAATAATTTCTGTGATAAATTGATTTTTTAAAAAAATCTGTCATGGAATATGGTAGATAAAACTATGTTGAATGATTATGAGATTTTAGAAAAACTTGTTAATACAAGTCAATATCAGTTAAGGGAAAAATAACGAGTTTATGCAATGTAAACTGGAAAATAAACGAATAAATGATTATTTTTTCTAATTATTATCCTTATTTTAATGTTTATCAGGATATTACAACAAACACTTCAAAATTATAAAATAATTAATGTCAAGATTCAAAGTATTACCCACAATGAACATAACTTTTGAAATTTTCTTTCTTTTTGGTATTAGAGGTCCTAAATAGAAACTTGCAAAACTCCTTTGTTTAACATAATTATGTTGTATAAACATAAGTTGCTGAGGACCTAAAGATATCGATAGGTTCCTGGCGTTCGATTTTTACCAATGATTTGGGCATAAGACGGGTCGCCTCTAAATTCGTACCAAAATTGGTCAATATCGACCAAAAACAGCATCGCATTAACATTACTAAGGGAGCCGTTGGACTCCGTCCGCGACGACCCAAATTTGCTCCAGAGGGTTATAACAGGTGACGAATCATGGGTTTATGGTTATGTCGTGGAAACCAAAGCTCAGTCATCCCAATGGAAGCTGCTGCATGAGCTCAGACCGAAGAAAGGCGCACCAAGTTAAGTCGAATGTGAAGGCTTTGCTTACAGTTTTCTTCTACTGCAAGGGCGTGGTGCATCATGGGCTCTTGCCACAGGATACAACGGTCAATAAGGAATATTACCTGCAAGTTATGGGCAATTTACGCGACGCAACCCGTCAGAAATGCCCGGATTTGTGGAAGAACAAAAATTGAGTTTTGCACCACGATACTTGGGCGCGAATTTTTTTTTACCAAAAGCAACACACCAATAATGCCGCAGCCACCGTATTCCCCAGATCTGGCGCCCTATGACTTTTCCTTGTTCCCAAAACTGAAGAGGCCCATGAAAGGACTACGCTACGCTACGATTGATGTTTTGAAGTGTTTCAACGATATCTGGTGGAGATTACTTCGAACGGGACAAAATAGATATTCATGAATAAATAACTAATTTAAAAAAAATCGGTTGTCTGTAAAGTCGGTTTACTGACGATAGTTGAACGTGACGTAAGAAAATACCGATGGAATGGTTTCATTTTTCAAAAGAAAATTTTAATTTTATTTGTTTGATAGATATTTTGTATGGATATAGAGAAGGAGGCAAATGGAAATGTATTATTGTATAGCATCTGTCCACGCGAACGCATCGTTCACTCAAGTAGGAGAGAGACAGATGTCTCAGCTGCCGAACGCGGAGGCCGATTGTGGCTCTTTGTCGCTCGTTCCGCGCTCTCGCTTGCACTTCAAGCCTTAAATGGAACGCCTTAGAGCGAGGTAACGCCGCATGAGTCATGTTTTTTCGTGCGTGCAGCCGGCTCCATCGAATTATAAGACGTTATCACGTCAAAAAAGATGAAATTCGTGATACTTTTTAAAGATTACATCATTTGCAGTAGTTACATTTCTTACATAAAATTACTCGTATTACCTTCTTCAGTTCTGTATCGCCATCGTCATAAGTCAATTCAACGCCCAATCTATTATCTCGCATCGAAATGCATTCTGAGATAACACCAAGCGGTATTCCCAACGAGTCCAATTCCCTTTCGGTTTCGTATTTTTCATCGCGAAGAGATTTCATTTCTTTATTCAATCTATCCAGGCATCCTTGGAACAAATCTCGCCATCTTTCCAATTCAGTGACGCGATCCGCCAGACGGGCGTTATTATGGTACGTGTCCCATTCTGTTTTAATTCGTGTTTCATTGCGAAGCTGTCGCGATTCGTGACGTACTCTGAAAGCGTCATTGCGACGGGTGTCATTGGTTTGCTGAAGTTCCCATTGCTTGGCGTGCCAATCGGCCAAGCCAATGTGTTGCATAGGCTTTTCAAATGTCACCACCGATGAATTCATCCTAAACATAATATTAATACAATTACCCTAAATTTAATACATAAAAATTGGCCAGACCAATGTCTTACATTAATTTTTTAAATATTACTATCAATTAATTCATTCCAAGTATGGTATTAGCATAGTTTTGATAGTCTGAAACGTAATTACCTGTTGAATGGTCAGACTAAAGTATTGCATTGCTTTTTTCAATGTGACCTTTATCAAAGTTCATTCTAAGAATGTAGTAAACATATTTTTGATGCTATAACTTTACACATTAAAAAGTTGCAACATAATTGCCCTGAATTACGCGTTATATGGCCAAACCAAAGTATTGCATTGTCTTTTTAAATATGAGCATCAATAAGTTCATTCTAGCAATAGGGTAAACATTTTTCTTTTGATAGCCAGTATATTTTAAGATGTCATAAATTTACATAGAGAAAAGCTATAACGTAGTTACCCTAAATTATCCGTTATATGGTTAGACCAATGTACAGAATTGTCTTTTTAAATGTGAGCGTCAATAAGTTCATTCTAACAATAGGGTACACATTTTTTTAATAGTCAGTTTACTTTATGACGCCATAACTTTACCTAGAGAAAGGCTGCAACGTAGTTACCCTAGATGTTAGACCAATGTATTGCATTGCTTTTTTAAATATGACCAAACCAAAGTATTTTTGTGAATGTCGCTATCAATTCATTAATTTTAAATATGGAGTAGGTAAACATATTTTTGATGGTCAGCACTTTTTTAAGATGCTATACATTAAACAAAGAAGGGCTGCAACGTAATTACCCTAAATTACACGTTGAATGGTTAGGACGCTGTACTGCGCTGTCTATGTAATAGTGACCATCAATAAGGTCATTCTAAACAAAAGGTAAACATGCTTAACAACCAGTCTGTGTGTAAGGTGTTGTATCTTTACGAATCTGATCGAAATTATCTTGCATAATGCATAAATATCGTCCAGGATAATGTATTGTTTTGACTTATCAAATATCAAATATCATCACTGATCGATTTGTTCTAAATACCAGACAACTTCTTATTTACTTTTGATAGGTTATCCCATTTAAAGAATATTAATATGAGGCGTACGCCATTACGTCTGTTTGACGTGCTGTATCTTTACGTAACACGTGCACCAAGTTTACCCTAAACAAACATATTAAATCACGCTAATATATTACATAAGTTTTATGAATATTAACATTAATAAATTTATTATAAGCAAGAAATCCTTGATTACAATATTCTGTTTGTTTAGCTCAAAATAATGCCAATATACCTAGAAAAATTAATGATAATAACCTACTCATGTACTTATTTTTGGTCTACATTTTGCGAGGCCATTACAACTCCTGCAATACCAAGATGGAGGTCAAAATCGAATTTAAATATATTATATTCTGTGAATGACTTTAATATCGCTGTTAAAGGACAGTATACATTAAATGCCTACATTAGACCAAATTATATACCAATAAAATACAATATAGGTGTGTATCTATTACTTGCACTTACAGTTTAAATTTATTATATAAAAAAACGGTAATTGTTAAACTTACTTTGTATCGTAGCTTTAAAATAAAATTATTCTCAAAATAAATATGACACTGACATTTACGAATGTATAGCAAGAGTGCAATACGATATTTGGGTATCTTAGGCCCATGCATAATAATTTGTGACACCTTGGAAACACCATGTTTAGTCGCCATAGAAATTACAAGCTAAAGATTTAACACTGGCAAAAGGGATTAAACATTAGGATTGTACAAAAAATTGGGTGAGACTACAAATTTCTGAAAGCTTTTTCATTCCATCGATAATGAATTTTAATAAACTACTATTTCAATTCAAAAATTACATAAATATGGTTATCTTAATGGTACTCTGATTTAACATTTGATGGGAATATTTTTGAAGAAATTATTTTAAAATGTAAGAAAAACTCATGTTGTTCCACAAAAAAGGAAAACCACTCTAATGCAAATTTGTTTTTTTAAGATTATTGTGGAAATAAATGAAATTCAAAATATATGTGATATTCGAACTAGTCAAGACCGAGTCTTGAATATGTTTTACAATCATTATAAGGTGATCAGTCCTAGGACTAGACTAGAGACGCACCTCCACTCATTCCTATATCCTGAGCTAATCTTTGCATTTCCCTGAAACTAGAACATCCCACATCCTTAACTATTTGTGAACGGTAATCAAATCTAGGTCTACCTCAACCCCTCTTAACTCTTGTTACCTCTTCCAATATGTCTCTGACTAGCCCTCTATGCCTGAAACCTATCTCGCCTATTTCTTATTGATTTTCGTACGGTCCTCTGTTCTCCTATTTTTTCTAATACCTCCTCATTTCTAACGTTCTCTATTCATGGTATCCTCGTCACTCAGCTGTAACACCATATTTCAAACGCTTCTAACCTTTTCTTTTTCGCCACGCGCACCGTCCACCTGTCGCACCCCTACAGAGCACTGAGATATACCTTTAACATTTTTTTTTTCGAATTTCTTACGTTAATAACAGTTAGAGAACATAGAAGCCACTCCTTTTTATTAAAAGCGACTCTACCCTGAGCTATTCTCTATTAGTTATCTTCTATATACCGAAAATAAACCACTTATAATTTTTCGTCTCCTATCTTCATATTCACTCTTTCCCTACTTTTTCTTCCTTAACATACCAGTACTTTTTGTTTTACCTTTTATTTACAGTGTAAACTCTATATAACGACACTTGAGGGACTGAACATTTTTCGGCGTTATAAAGAGTGGTTGTTAAATGGAGAGAAATAAAAGATATAATTTTACTATTCTATAATAATATGCATTTACCAATATAGTACACATTTTGCACACGAACATTATTATTCATACATTGCGTATAGCCTGTTATCTTCGTCTGATGTTTTTTGCTGCTCCAATATTTTAATTGTATTTTGTTACGTATCTTACTCATATCTTGAGATACTGCTGGATCAATTTGATTATATAAAAAGTATTTTTTTAATAGTTTCGCTGCATCAAGTGCATGTTTGATGCTTGGTGGAGGGACAGGATCGTCTTCTTCAACAATGTACATAGCTGCAGTTCTTATCTATTTCGGCAACTTAGAAAGTACTGTTTAATAATTTATAATGCCGCATTGTTGCCGTTAAATAGAGTGAACGTGACGCTATATAGAGTGTATAGAAAACAATGTAAACCAACCAAAGTCAAGCAATTTCGACGTTTTAAGGAGTTTGTCGTTAAATCGAGTGACGTTATAAAGAGTTTACACTGTATTTTCATGCAATACTGTTTTGTCAATAGCACTTCCATTTTATTTAATGCTATCTCTAACTCTCCTTTGCTAGATGCTAGTACTGGCTATATCAGCAGCAAATATAAGCACTAATCTGTTGCCCCTGTATGTCTATCCCTAAAGTTGTCCTGTGATATATGTTTACAATTGAAGAAAACGTTTTTCGTATTGGTCAACATTGGTGTCTCATGGCGGAAAAAATAATCATAAAATCAAAAAAGGGTCTCATTGAAACACTGTTCAGGGACACATGCAGTAATATTAGAGACACCACCTCGAAGGACAAATAGCATTAGATTGATTATTATTGATTAATTAACTTAATAACAATCTGACGTAGTATAATGGTGGTATAATTTTTTATTTATTTATAAACGCCCCTTTAATTAAATCATATTAAAAAGCGTAACTATTTAGTTCTTGGTTGCACCTTGTACTTACAATTGATCGTGTTTGATTAATATGTTTCTCGAGTTGCCCTTCGATTGACTTTAACTCGATAAACGAACGAACGTCTTTTATTGTCGCAATTTTTTATAAGTAGGTATGTAGTTGTTTGCATCAAATTCAAAGGATAACATAGCACGTTTTACACAACAGTTTTATCAAATGTTCTATCGTATTTGAACGTAATATTGAAAGGACTTTAATAATTTCTTCTTATGAAAATATAAAAGATTGATTTGGTTTGTGAAAAATATGACAGGCATAACGTTTTGAAAAATTCGTTAACGAGGTAGGGTTTAATATGAATTTTATTTTGCATTATTTAGGCATAGGACTGCCGATAAACTAACATTTTTATATGTATAGATAGATAAATTTATGAATATTAGAACAACTGTGCATCTGTATTAGGAATTTAACGTATTAAAAGTATTTTCTTTTAGTTCTTAATTTATTATTACTGTAGTAATACATAGTTGTAGTTTTTGACAGTCAGTTTGGTTTAGTATTTTGATAATAATTTCTTTATACGCAAAGAATAAGTAATCCTTAAATGATAAAGAATAGGTATTGCCACATATTTTGTACGTAAATGACTCTAAAATTAAATTATTTCTATTTACTAAAACAAATAATAGGAATTATGAATAACAACTTTAACATCTTTCAAAGTAATTGTTTAATAGGTCGAAAAACCGAAGTCATTTTACTGAAACCTCATATATAGGCTCCTTTGGTACATCTTTTTATTTTTTGATATCGTTTTATTTATCAAATAAACGTTTTTTTGATGTTTCAAGGCGATGTATACTTGTTGGTGTTTTTTCATGAATTTGATAAAAGCGAATTCGTCATTGTCAAATCGGCTTGCTTCGTCACGAATGAGAGAACGAGATAGATATAATGAGAGTGAGAAAGAGATAGAAATTGAAACATTTTCTGTAAAAGAAAAGTACTTCGGTGTCCAGGTCCGATCTAACACGAACAATAGAAATTAATATTACAACTTGCTGTTATTATTAATTCGGCGCCATGTTAATGGGTAGTATCGAGTGCTATTAATTAATTGGTTTTTCGCGTTAGTTTTCGAAGATTAGTAAAGAATATTTATCCGATATAGTGTTGTGCAATCATCAATGTGAATTTGAACAGTGACTGGAACAAAAGTTGTACTTAGGATTAGGATTACTAGTGGAGTGGAGTATAAATGGTGAGTTATTGAAATAAGAGTTATCATCCGTTTTGATCATTACCTTGCATGATCATCATCGTTAAATTTAGTCTTTGTTATGTTTTAAATAATTAGGGTGCTTTTTAATTATTACATTAGCAATGCCTCAATTTGTTAACAAAGATTGAATCCAAACGCGCAAGTACTGGTTGTTGTATGATTACAATTGTGAACACTGAATTACACATGGGTTTTAATTAAGAATTTCTTTTATTAGAACAAAATATACTTTTATAAATGATCTTTATGAACTTTTGCGAATTCCGTAAAAGAATTTTGGTTTTATTAATTAATTTTTATAAAATAACATGTANAGGATTTTGAAAATTGTTGCATTTCTAGGACACTTTGCTCCAGAAAAACATTTACCGTATTTTTCTAAATTAAATACAATGAGCTTTCGTGTAAAATAATGAGTTTTATATATTAAAAATGTTTAATTATTCGAGCGTACTACCTGCCTTCTTCTATCCGAATGCTCACTCTCTCAATCCGCACGGTATAACAACTCTGATGCTCGTTGAATTCCCAAGCTAATTCATAATTTGTTTTAAACAATGAAACGTAATTTCTGGTCAATTTAAACGTACTTGCAGTTTTCTTATCTGTACTGTTTAATGTTATGGAGAAAGGGTAATTTGCAAATCTAGGTGTATTTTTAGGGTATGTAATGAACGTTGAGAGAGGTGAGGATTTTGAAAATTGTTGCATTTCTAGGACACTTTGCTCCAGAAAAACATTTACCGTATTTTTCTAAATTAAATACAATGAGCTTTCGTGTAAAATAATGAGTTTTATATATTAAAAATGTTTAATTATTCGAGCGTACTACCTGCCTTCTTCTATCCGAATGCTCACTCTCTCAATCCGCACGGTATAACAACTCTGATGCTCGTTGAATTCCCAAGCTAATTCATAATTTGTTTTAAACAATGAAACGTAATTTCTGGTCAATTTAAACGTACTTGCAGTTTTCTTATCTGTACTGTTTAATGTTATGGAGAAAGGGTAATTTGCAAATCTAGGTGTATTTTTAGGGTATGTAATGAACGTTGAGAGAGGTGAGGATTTTGAAAATTGTTGCATTTCTAGGACACTTTGCTCCAGAAAAACATTTACCGTATTTTTCTAAATTAAATACAATGAGCTTTCGTGTAAAATAATGAGTTTTATATATTAAAAATGTTTAATTATTCGAGCGTACTACCTGCCTTCTTCTATCCGAATGCTCACTCTCTCAATCCGCACGGTATGACAACTCTGAGGCTCGTTGAATTCACAAGCTAATTCATAATTTGTTTTAAACAATGAAACGTAATTTCTGGTCAAATTAAACATACTTGCAATTTTTTTATCTGTACTGTTTACTGTTATGGATAAAGCAATTTGCAAATCTAGGTGTATTGCTAGGGTATGTAATGAATGGTGAGGATTTTGAAAATTGCTTCATTTCTAGGACTTTAATTTTCACAGCTGTCCAAAATTGTTGTTAGTACGTTTTTCCTCATATATTTTATATTACCTTAACCATTTAGAATATCCAGGATAATTGTTTTAACAAGTCGAAAATTAAGTTGTGCACTTTTAAGTTTCCAATTTTTACGTAATTTTCTCGTTTTAATAATGAAATCTGCTTTAATTTAAACAGCAGTGAAAGATTGTCGTTAGTGTACGCTTTTCTTCACATGTTTATATATACGTGTAACCATTTAGACTTTCCAGGATAATTGTTTAATAAGTCGAAAATTAAGTTGCGCACTTTCAACAGTTAAATGTACTTTAATTTAAATTGTAGATAGAAACTGTTTGAAGTACATTGTTCCTCTCGTTTTCATGTATTGCATTCATTTTTTGGAATTTACAGAATAATTGTTTAACAAGTCGAAAGTTCATTTTTATATTTTCTCACATAACTTTCGCCTTTTGGGTCTGTTAATGTAATTATTTAACGGGTTCGGATGGCATTTTTACCTGTTCACGTAATTTTCGTGTTGTGATGAATTACCTTTCATTCAAGTTACACTAAGATTCTGTTGTCAATAATACGTTACGTTGTTCACATGTTTATTCGTTTTTATATACCTATGGATGTTTTATCGTAGAACAGGTCTAAAATTTATGTAGGTTTTTTATGTATTCAAGGCTTTGTTTTCAAATCTAATAACATTATTGTTTCAGGTGCATTTTGCAGTTAGTCGTCGGTCATGAGCCACATTCGACAATCGATTAATTCCGGGATCATCACTGAAGGGAATTTGAGGAAAGGTAGGTTTTTATTAATTTATTTTCTGCTTACCCACTTGTTTTAGAGCACATTTGTTTTCTTAGGGTTACAGTCTAATATCTTGTCTTACTTATTTTAATAGATAATTCTTTCATAACGTTGCTACTTACCTTGTCTTGTCCCTTCTCTTTCCTTCAAGATAAATTCCTAGAACTTCATTTCTTTTAATTTGTTTAACTTTTTCGTAATGCTCCTTTGTTTTTATCTCCATTAACACTACTTTCAGAATTTTATTTCCTCACTTGACAGACTATTATTTTCTTGAATGTGATGTTATAAATGTTACATTTATACTTTCAGCTACATCTTCTAGTCCAGTAACCCAACAGTCAGTGATCGGCTTCTTCCAGAATCACCGGCACGCGTCAAGAGTGGTACAGTTGCATATGCTTTTAATTAGTTCTTCTTTTAGTACTTACCTACCTTCATTACTTTTTTTGATCTTTACTTGCTTTCAATTTTACATTTTTATTATTGTTACTTTTCAAATCTCTTAATTTTATTTTGTTTGAAACTTAATTTATTACAATTAATTATTCGAGCGTACTACCTGCCTTCTTCTATCCGAATGCTCACTCTCTCAATCCGCACGGTATAACAACTCTGAGGCTCGTTGAATTCACAAGCTAATTCATAATTTGTTTTAAACAATGAAACGTAATTTCTGGTCAAATTAAACGTACTTGCAGTTTTGTTATCTGTACTGTTTAATGTTATGGAGAAAGGGTAATTTGCAAATCTAGGTGTATTTTTAGGGTATGTAATGAACGTTGAGAGAGGTGAGGATTTTGAAAATTGTTGCATTTCTAGGACACTTTGCTCCAGAAAAACATTTACCGTATTTTTCTAAATTAAATACAATGAGCTTTCGTGTAAAATAATGAGTTTTATATATTAAAAATGTTTAATTATTCGAGCGTACTACCTGCCTTCTTCTATCCGAATGCTCACTCTCTCTATCTGCAGGGTATAACAACTCTGATGCTCGTTGAACTCACAAACTAATTCATAATTTCTTTTAAACAATGAAACGTAATTTCTGGTCAAATTAAACGTACTTGCAGTTTTCTTATCTGTACTGTTTAATGTTATGGAGAAAGGGTAATTTGCAAATCTAGGTGCATTTCTAGGGTATGTAATGAACGTTGAGAGAGGTGAGGATTTTGAAAATTGTTTCATTTCTAGCACACTTTTTGTTCCAGAAAAACATTTGCCGTATTTTTCTAAATTAAATACAATGAGCTTTCGTGTAAAATAATGAGTTTTATATATTAAAAATGTTTAATTATTCGAGCGTACTACCTGCCTTCTTCTATCCGAATACTCACTCTCTCTATGTGCACGGTATGACAACTCTTATGCTCGTTGAATTCACAAGCTAATTCATAATTTGTTTTAAACAATGAAATTTATATGTATAAATGTTTAATTATTCGAGCGTACTACCTGCCTTCTTCTATCCGAATACTCACTCTCTCTATGTGCACGGTATAACAACTCTTATGCTCGTTAAATTCACAAACTAATTCATAATTTGTTTTAAACAATGAAACGTAATTTCTGGTCAAATTAAACATACTTGCAGTTTTGTTATCTGTACTGTTTAATGTTATGGAGAAAGAGAATTTTGCAAATCTAGGTGTATTTCTAAGGTATGTAATGAATGCCGAGGGAGGTGAGGATTTTGAATCATTACCTTGCATGATCATCATCGTTAAATTTAGTCTTTGTTATGTTTTAAATAATAAGGGTGCTTTTTAATTATTACATTAGCAATGCCTCAATTTGTTAACAAAGACTGAATCCAAACGCGCAAGTACTGGTTGTTGTATGATTACAATTGTGAACACTGAATTACACATGGGTTTTAATTAAGAATTTCTTTTATTAGAACAAAATATACTTTTATAAATGATCTTTATGAACTTTTGCGAATTCCGTAAAAGAATTTTGGTTTTATTAATTAATTTTTATAAAATAACATGTATACATATAGTATTTACGTAAGTTTTCAAATTCGAAATTTT